GAAAAATGATTCAATAATGTTTGTAGGCACTGAGTCAACATTTGGTCTAATGCCGAACAATTTATACTTCTCTCGGCCCGAAGTCGATGTCTCAAAGACGAAATAAGGCAAAGAACGAGCAACTTACATGCTGGAGTTGTGCAGCTGAACCAGGAGCCTTTGACTCCACCTGCTTTGTTTCTAGCCTCTATCATAATACGATATGTTGCATTGGAGCGTAGATTAGGAAGATCCGCAAACGTTTCGTCACTGTAACAAATCGACTAGTACTGACTAAGAAGATACAAAAAAGTCCAGTGATTCGCTAAGTTTCGGTATAGAGATGCACCTCATTTCTGAGCACCACCCAGCAAGAACAGTCCTCTACAGCATAATTTTTTTAAAACCCACGATAGGGAACTCAGATCATCGGAATTTTACCAAGAAAATTTGGCAAAATTAACTCTCAAAATTTCATTCAACAACTAACTATTGATAAGCAAGGCATGAAAAAGTCCAATAAGATTAAAAAAAATTTACGTGATAACCAATCTGTCATCATCAGAAACATTATCACTCAGTGTGTAATGAACAACAAATTCGTCTGCACTGTACGAGTCTGCCGGCCAATCCCAAGACACACGCATCGCATCTCCAAACTCATATGACTGCTCACAACGACACTCGTTTCCTCCTAAAATTTCCTATTAATTTTACGATATCTTTTGAAAACTTTTTAAAAATTGTTATCCGATCTTTTCCATTTTCAGAATTCTCGATCTCTGTGCCCTCATGACAGTATTACCATTAACTGTAAGGAAAGAAACAGAGGCTTTTCAAAATTAAAAAAAGAACGTCTTCTTGCAATAATGAGAAACAAAAACACCTTCAGACTGATTCTTAGGAAGTTAAAAAAAATGAATTAATGATGAAAACAGCTCGCAAACGCAACAACTTATCACTCCAGTTGCAAAATCAAGTTTGTCACCTTTTCTGTTTTCAAAAGAAAAAGAAACGAAAAAAACGGTTTCCCAACAGGAAAGCGGTTGCTTCCGCTAAATAACGCCAAGCAAAATTCATACAGAATCAAGCAAACTGCTACATATGCAACAGCAACTTACGATGATCACAGCGCACTGGCCGTAGCAATGCATCATCAAAGGAGGCGCCACCGATGACTGATGGAGAGAGAACACGATAGGTGCGGCAAAAATCGGGACCATAAAGAAGTCCAACATACAATCGACTACAAAACTGATAGATTCGAAACTGAAATGACACATACTAATTCCGTATAATTCCCCGAACATGCTGCGTAAGAATACAAGACTTTTCTTAATATTACTCGTATGCTACAACCATGCAAAGAATCAGCTTATATTTCCGATCAATTCAAAGGAACGCTTTCGTCTCTTGTAAAGCAAATGAAGAAAAATTTGCGAAATGAAATAACACTATTGAAAAACCTACCGCTTCAAATGTCGCACTCAGATTCAACGATCCACCAAAAAGTGTGCCCTTTTCAGTTTTTTCTCTTAGTGGTGAAATATCGGATCGTGCATAGCGCACAACTGCTTGAACTCCTGCGTCTTGTGAACCGTAATTTGAATTTCCTTGTTTGCTCTTCCACACAACACTAAGCGATGAATCTTTCTGTAATTCCAAGACACATCTTTCTACTGTATTCAGTGAGAAAACTTCAGACTGAAATCTCTTCAGTGTCCTTTAACACAAAAAATTTCACGCAAATTTACGAATGTGAGCAATCTACGACCGAAACAAACCCTAAACACAAAAAAACTTTCAATCATTTCCTCAAAATAAGCTAACAGAAGTAGTGCGTACCTGCACAATATCAAAGGGGACCGATCCAATTTCGGGATGCAGATTACTGGAGAACGAGTCGACAGTATATCCAATGAAGGTGTAGTTTGCGTTTGCTTTCAAATTTGCACTGGATGGTAGGCCTCGACGCGTCACTGGAATTACCCGAAAACGATATGTCTCCTCTGATGCTACATCTGCAAGAACAAAGGATCCAAAAAAAATGTCAAACAGTAAATATCTGAAAGTGGCTCGGTGACGATCCAATACGGGAGGTCATCGAAGTACATGGACAAAAGAGACCGTTGCAAGTATTTTCAAAGAAGTTTGGGATGTTCTGATATACGCCGTGACTTTTTGATGGTGAGACCTGAGAAATTTGAATCTGACTTCGGACAGCCGGCCTCGAAAAAGTATGAAATGGGAACTCTTATGGCTTTTCGATCATGTACTGACCTCGAATAACTGCTAGAGTAAAATATTAATTCTTATTTCTATTTACGTACCACTACTAAGTCTGGAATGAATTATCTGAAAAAGTTTTTGAACAGGGCAAAGAAAAACCGGTTACTATACTTCGATGCATTTGGCACT